CCGTAATATGTGGGACTCCAGCATAAGTGAACGATGAATTTAAAATGGGAAGATTGCACATCGAGAGGGAACATGTTCCAGAAGTTTCACCTTCTCAACTTCTCCGGTTTCTGAGTGGGAAAAGGAGTTACGAAATGCACTCCGAATACATAAAAATACAGACATACACCCATAACTTCCTGACAATACGCGTTCTCCCAAAATTCGCAAAGTGCATAAAATCAAAAAAATAAAATAAAAAATAAAAACCAACGCCCCCTCTCATCTCGAACTAGTATCGCCAAGAACAAACGTAGGACCTGCTGAAATATGAAAGCGGAGCAGTGGTAAGAAAATGAAAATTAAATAAATCATAACGAGAAATGATAACCTCATCAGCTCTCAACTGCCAAAAAAAGAAGACTGTTACAGTATTCTGTATTGTGCAAGAAAAAACGCAAAAACCTTAAGTCGTTGCCGTTATACCGCTCACGGACCGCAATTTTGGTCCCCAAATCTGCGAATACAACCAAACGACCCCTCATATTTTTGGAATTTGACTCGAAGCAAAATTCACCAATCCTAAAACATGCAAACACAAAATTTTCGCTTCCATCAAAGTTTGCTATTAAATTCAACAAAATGTTCCCAGCGAAATTTCATTTACTCATTACTCTGTACGAACATAAATTTATCTTTTCAAAAGTTACACTTCAATCAAAAATGCAGTTTTGCATACAAAATTGTGTAAGCTAAAACGAAGGTGTAACTCTAACCGCCTAGAATTGTAGGTAAATGCCAAATCCATGTCAGTGGCAACACGTAGTAGTTCAGAAATGTTATTACCATCGCCCAGTGCATACCCGCAATCAACACCATCGCTTGCCTTAAAAACCGGGCCTCATTTAGTTAAAATCAAGAAAGTTGCCGTGCAAAACATCGAAAAATCACCAGACAAAAGTGAAATATAGCATTATCAGTTGCCAGGGTTCATATCTCAAGGCATGGTTTGTTCATCCGTTTAAATTTCCATTCCCCAAACTAATTCAATCTGAAACTGTAGGACACAAATTTGAAGCGAAATCGCCTAGTTCGCTTTACTGCCCTTTCTCCGTCCAATTTGTTATGCATTGGCAAATGATTTATTAGTTACTATTTCAGTGATGCTTTAAGCTTTTGTCCTTTTATGCAAAATGATCACATTTAACAAAACAACGATGACTGTAAAAGCTCCGATGCAGGGAAACAGCCCGGTGATAACGTAAAGTCCCGGTAATGGAAGATCTGAAACTGTGAGTAGAGCCCTTGCAAAAATGCGGTAGTTTGGAGCCCAATCATCAAAAAATACGCCCAGTTGCGAAGATAAAACGCGCATACAAAAGCAAAGCACCCTCTGAATTATGCGTTTCCCACCAAAAAAAAAACGCAGCAAAACCCAGACTTCCTGAATAGAATAGGAGATTCCGAATTTTCATTAAAATACATTTGCAGTGTTGAAAACTTCCAGTTACTTACCTCACATTCTTCCTTCGGCGTTTTCATACGCCCTACCGGCAATAACAACTCGCCAACAGTGAAGTTTTTCTGCAATTTTGAACAATTATGGGACTTTTATAATTGGTTCCGGAAGAAGCACTAGCAAATCTACAAGCAAAATACTTTGTTGCTCACATTATACAGCCTCAGCAAAGCATGAAAAAGGAATAACTGGCCTCACATTCCAGTGGTATAGTCAGTAACAAAGGGACAGGGGCTTTTTCATACCTTTCCCTCCCACCCCTCCCCTCCGTTCATCATGATGCAATG